CCCCCCCCCCCCCCCTGCAATGCGCCTCAGTCGAGGAGAACAGCACCTGGGAGGCGGCAGACATCATCCTCTTCCGGCCGGAGCGCGACCGGCCGGAGCTGGCCATGTCGGTCCTCACGACCGATGCCTATCCCTCGGACTCGTTCTTCAGCGGCGGCCCGGCCTTCGGGGCCGAGGATCTGTCCGATGTCGGTGGCTCTGGGCGGTGTCCCTTCTCGTCGATGCGTAGCGTGGTCAGCGGCGACCCGAATGTCCTGGTGGCCATTGACGCCTCGCAAGCCGGGGCCGTCCTGGCCGAGGCGGCCGCCCTGCCGCGCATCACCCTGCAAACGGTGCCCACTTTGCCGACCGACGACCTGGACGACAGCCGGTTCTTGTCCAGCAGCCGGGCCTTCCTCGAGGGCCCGGAGCTGCCGGGCGCCGGCGGCAACAGCAGCAGCACTGGCAGTGGCGACAGCAGCAGCAGCAGCAGCAGCAGCGGCGGCGGCGGCGGCGGCAGCAACCCCGGCGGGGGGCTGTTGCAATTCCATGGGTATGTGCAGGACAACCACCACTTCCAGGGCCTGGGGCCCTCGCTGCTGGATAGCAGCGCCGGGGTCGATCGGTCCCCCTCCTCGGACTCGCCCTTCGGCCGGGTGCCGCACAACTCCATGACCATCGACAGCCCGAGCAGCTACCTCCTGTCGCCGATGCCGCTGATCGGGGACCTGCCCTTCGACAAGGGTGTCTTCGGGGTGGATGACGGCCCGGATGACGGGGACCCTGGTGGCGATGGCCCGGGTGGCGGCGGCGGTGGCGGCGGCGGCGGCGGTGGCAGCGGCGACGGCGGCGGCGGCGGCGGCGGCCCCGACGGGTCGGTGCCCGGCGATGTGGTGGGTCTCCTCGGCGACGAGGGGCCCATGTCTGACGGGGGCTCCGGCGGGTCCGGCACCTCCTTGACGCCGGACACGCGGCTGAATTTCCTGAATGCCCTGGAAACCGACAGCCCCATCGACTTTTCGTATAATCCCTCCCTGTCATGCTCGGCCATGCCCTCGGATGAGGAGGAGGACCCCGAGGGGCAGGCGGGCCCCGGCATCGGCGGCCCCAATGGGCCCGGCTCGTCGGGCATCCCCTCGCTGAAGGTGAACAATCCCTTCGGGTCGGTGCTCGAGGGGGAGGACGAGTCGGGCTGTGGCCGGTTTGCCGGCGGTGCTTCGCTGCTGCCGCTGGCCGGGGCGTCGGTGCCCCTGTCCTCGGAGCTGTATCGTGACTTGAATAGCCCGCCGATTCCGACCGGCGGCGGCGGCGGGGCCGGGCCCGCTGGCGGTGTGTCTGCCGGGGGCCCGGTCGACTCGGCCGGCGCTGGGACCGGCTCTTCCGGCGGGATCGCCGGGCCGGGGCCCGGGTCGGCGGCGACCATCGCCATCGGCGGCCTCGGCACCGGGCCCGGGCTCAAGCCCGAGCACAGCCCCGGCAGCCTGGGCTCGGCCAGGTCGCGCGACTTGCGGGCATCCATCCCGGCGGCCCTCTCGGCCGGGGGCGGGGCCGCCGGCCTGCTCAGTGCCCCGTCGACGGATCAGCTTTCGGCGGCTGTGGTGGCCGCCGGGAAGGGTGTCCCCGGGGGGGCCACCGGGCCCGGCCCCGCCGGGGCCCGGGCCTCCGAAACACACATCAATGCCAAGGCGCTGCTTGGTGGTGGCAGTGGCGGGAATTCCGCCGCAAGTGCCGGGGGAGGCGCCGCCTCGGGGTCGAGCGCGGGGCCGGCGGTGCCGGGCGCCGGCGATGCCGGGCCCACCGGCGGCCCGGTGCCCGGTGCTGGGCCGGTGCCGGCCACCGCCGGCGCGGCGGCGGCCCCTAGTGCGGCCGGTGCGGCGGCCCCGCCGGCCAAGGGCGGCCGGCCGGGCTCGACAGGTACCCGCGCCCGCGCGACAGGCACCGCCGCGGTCAAGCGCGAGCGTGCGGCCGGTGCGCGGGCCGAAAGGGCGCCGGCGGCCGGGGGCCGGGCAGCGGCGACGCGCGGATCGCGCGCCACCGCAGCCGCCTCTCGGTCCAAGAGCCCGACCCTTGCGGCGGCGGCGGCGGCGGCGGAGTCGGGCACCGGCGGCGGCGCTGCCGCCCGGGCGACGAGCGGCCTGTCCGATACGACGTCCGCGGCGGCGGCGGCGGTTGTGGCGGCGGCGGCGGCGGCCGTGGCGCCCAGTTTCGCCGGTGGGCCCGCGCCCCCGGCGGCCGGCCGGAAGGCGGCTCTTGCGCGCCAAAGCGACGGCCCCGGGCCCGGCGGCCGCGCGGCCAAGCAGCCCCGGTCCGCGGGGGCCAAGTCGCCGGCCCCGCTGCCGGACGACGCTTCGCTGCCGGCCGCGGTTCCGCCGGTGGCCATGAAGCCGTCGCCGAGTTCGTCGGCGGCGGCGGCCGCGGCGGCCGCCCTGGCCGGGGCGCCCTTCGCCCTGAAGTCCGCCGGGACCATTGTGGCGGCGGTGGCCGGCCAGGCGGCCGGCGGCGGGGTCGCCGGGACGTCGGCCGCGGCGGCGGTGGCCGCGGCGGCTGCCGCGGCTTCCATGCACGGTGCCGGTGCCGGGGTCCCCGGGGCCGGGGCCGATGCCACCCCCTCGCCGGCTCCGGGCATGGCACCCACGCATCCGGCCACGCATGCGCGCTCGCTCCATGGGCTGCCGGTGCATGGCCCGGCGCCGGCCTCGTCGTCGCCCTCGGTGGCGGCGGTGGCGGCGGCCACCGCGGCCACATACACGCCCTCGGCCGTGGCGGCGGCGGCGGCGGCGGCGGCGGCGGCAGCGGCGGCGGCGGCGTCCTCGGCCCCGGGCACCTCGGCGACTGGCCATGCGGGCGCGCTGGCGCACTCGACCTCCGCCGGGGGGGCCGGCGCCGGCGCCTCGTCGCTTGCCGGGGCCCCGGGGTCCTCTTCGTCTTCTTCCTCCTCTTCCTCCTCTTCATCGGCGGCGGCGGCGGCGGCGGCCGCGGCCGCCGCAGCTGCTGCGGCCGCCGCCCACTCGCATCCCCACACGACGGCCTCCTCACACTACTCCACGGCCGGGGGCTACCACTCGGCCTCATCGGCGGCGGCGGCGTCATCGGCGGCGGCCGCGGCCGCGGCCCTGGGCCCGATGCACTCGGCATATGGCAATCCCCACTCGGCATACGGCAGCTCCTACGCCAATTCCTCCTATGCAGGGAGCCACACATCGGCGGCGGCGGCGGCGGCGGCGGCACACTACGCGGCCAGCCATTTGTCGGCGGCCACGGCTGCCGGCTACACCGGGTCCCACTACTCGACCCTGCCGTCGTCGGCCAGTTCGGCGGTGGCCGCGGCGGCGGCGGCCTACTCGAGCCCCTACTCGGCGGCCGTGGCGGCTGCCCAGTACTTTGCCTCGCAGTATCCGAGCTCGTCGTACTCGTCGGCAGCGGCGGCGGCAGCGGCGGCGGCGGCCGCCGCCGCCAGCAACCCCTCGCCCTACTCGCACTATCCCTCGGCCGCGGCGTACACCAGCTCGCTGTATGGCCCGGCGGCGGCGGCCGCCGCCGCGCACTACAGCACCCAGCCGCTGGCGTACTCCTCGGCGGTCGGGGGGTCGGGGGCGCCGGCAGGGTCGGCGGCGGCGGCGGCCGTGGCGGCGGCGGCGGCGGCCGCATCGGCTCCCAGCTCGGCGGCGGCGGCGGCAGCGGCCGCGGCTCTCGGCTCGTCGTCCTCGCACCATGCGGCCTCGCAGCATGCCGCCCATCACCATGCCTCTCAGTATGGCGCCCTGTCGGCCAGCTCGACGGTCGGCGCGGCCGGGACCTCGGCCCCGGCTTCATCGGCCGGCGCGGCCCCCGGGGGCACGACGGCGGCCGATGGCACCGGCGGCTCGTCGGTGGCCAATTCGGCGGCGGCCGCGGCCGCCGCGGCCGCCGCGGCCGCCGCCAGCTCCCCCCTGCTGGCATCGTCTCTGTCATCCCTCGGGTCCTATGGCCATGATCCGGCCTCCGCCTACAGCAGCTACCTGGGCTATCCGTACAGCTCGTCGCTTGGCTTTTCGCAGGGGGGCCTGTCGGCATCGCACAGTGCTTTCGCCGCGGCGGCGGCCGCCGCTGCCTCGCCCTACTCCTCGCATCCGGGCATCGCGGCGGCGGCGGCGGCGGCGGCGGCGGCGGCAGCGGCTGCTTCGTCCTCTTCCTCCTCATCGGCGGCCGGGTCGACGGCAGGTGCCTCCTCGTCCGCCTCGTCGGGGGCCGGGGCAGGGGCCACCGGCGGCACGACCACCGGCAGCACGGCCCCCTCGGCAGGCACGGCCGGGACCGCGGTAGCCTCGGCGGCCGGGTCGCAATTTAGCTCGGCCGCGTCTTCCATGTCACATTACTCGGCAGCCGCGGCGGCGGCGGCAGCCGCCGCAGCCGCCGCCGCGGCCCACCCCTCCTCCGCAAGCATCTATTCCTCCTCGGCGCATCCCTCGAGCGCGGCCATGGCGGCGGCGGCGGCCGCCGCCGCAGCGTCCTCCTCCTCCGGCTCGGCTGCGTCGCACTATGCCGGCCTGGCCATGGCTGGTCTCGGCCAGCAGGGCGGCTCCTCGCTGTATGGCAGCGGTGTTTCGGCCTTCGGCCATCACCACCACCACCATCACCACCACCACCACCAGGCGGCGGCGGCGGCGGCGGCGGCCGCTGCCGCGGCAGCAGCCGCGGCTCCCTCGGCGCCCGGCAACACCGCTGCCGGTGGTATGCCTGCTGCTTCGGCCATGCTGGCCGCTCCGACCTCCGCCGGTGCTGCTGGCACCGGTGCCGCCGCCGCCGCCGCCGGCAGCACCGCCCCGGCCACCGCGGCGAGCTCCGCCACCTGAGCCCCAGAGAGGCCCCCTCCCTCCCCCCCCCCTCCCCCTCGCCCGCGTCGGGGCGCGTGAGAGGGGGCCGGGCAAGCCCGGCACCCTGTCCTTGTTCCTCTTTTTTTTCATCTCCCAGAGCCTGGTCTTTCCCCTCCCTCCCTCCCTCTCTTTCGTCCCTCCCTTTCTGTCCTCTTCCCTTTGCCGGGCCTCGAGGCGGCGGTGTGTCGGCCATGCCCTGTGGTGCGCTCCTCCCTTGGTGGCGGTGGTGTATGGCCCCGCATGAGGCCGCCCACCGGGGGCCGGGCCACACGCCTGCGCTTCGCTCTCCCTCCCTCGCCCCTCTGCTCCTTGGCCCCTCTGCTCCTTCCCCCCCCCTCCTCCTCCTCCTCCCCGGGGGCAAGCCAGCCAGGAGAGCCGGGGGTCCTGTTGGAGGGATGGTTCCGGCCTGCCATTCGGGGCACTTCACCTGTGCGTGTTTGCTTGCCACCCGCTGCCTGTCGCCGCCGGTGGCGCGGGGTCTCTCCCTTCGGCATCCCCCCGGCCACTGACACATGCCCCACCTTCATTTCCCCCCTCCCTCCCGTCTCCCCCTGCTCAGCGTGTGGCACACAAAAATGGCCGACCCTGGTGACGACCCTGGTGACCGTGTGTGTCGCCTCCCGCTTCCTCTTTCCTCGTGGCTCCTGCCCTGAACCTTTCCTTGTTTTTCCGAATGTAAATTTATCCCCCCTCTTCTCCCACTCCCCTGTGCGGCGACGATGTACGTGGGCATATGATGGGCCAGCAACAGAGCGAGAGCGAGAGCGAGAGCGAGAGCGAGGGCCAGACAGACAGATGGGGCCGGCAATCGCCAGCCCCCCCCCCCCCCCCCCCCCC